AGATAATAGGTAATCGGGTTTGAACCTTTTTTTTTTTTCTTGAATAAGACCAAGCTTAACCCATGAAAAAAATAAGAGCTTTTTATCGTAGAAATACCTTGTGTCATTTTATTACCATTTGATATTATTTTTCTAAAAAATTGAGAGGAGCACCTCTTTCTGCAGTGTTTTTTTCTAAGCAGCCCTTTCGTTTGGCAATAATAACATTGGGCATTTGATAAATCCTACATGCTCCTTAAATGCATTGTGGTTAACATAAAGAAGGGGACGTACCCCTGGGGGAATATAGTATAGTTATGGGTACTCTTATTTTTTTAAAAAAATAACATCAAATGGTAATAAAATGACACAAAAGGTGTCTATACGTAAAAAGTTCAAAAAATAAAAAATAAAGAAATGTTGAGGTGCACACAGTGGTAAGAGAGTTATGTATGTGATGCGCACATGAGTTAAGTCAATGCAAAGGGTGGAGGGCTTGAGAATGGGCGGAGGTCGTGGCGGTAGTGTCACTTGAGCCCCAATTAAGTCATTACCACTATTCTCACTGAACGCTTAACAAAACTCACTCTTTCTAAAATGGGTAGGGGCATGTGTTCTCCACCGACCTACCAAAAGAAAAAGAGGGTGGCACATGAAGGCGTGCGTTTATTGAGGTGGTGCTCATGTGTTCGTAAAGTGTCACAGATTAAGGAGTGGGATTTTGGGACATCGGTGGTTGTGGGAGCGGATGTTTCGGCACAATGTCCCACCTTCTTCTATTCCCACCATTAACATATAGACAGAGTCCCACCTTTTAGTCCCACCATTAACATGTCGAGAGAGTGAGAGAGAAAGAAGTGTGACCGATTGAGACGTAGGGCTGAGGCACTTGGCTTGGCAGTAAAACACGTCCATTTTAATCCAAGATAACCTCAAAAACACTACTTTAAAACCGTTGTTTGGGCATTGAAGGATGAACTTTGTTTAGTGTTATGTGAGTTAGTGTAGAAAAATTCAAACCACAACAGTTAATCGGATATAGGGCTGGAAGCAGTTCAATTAGCCTAACCGGTAAACCGGCTGTTTCAACCAGCGTAATCGGGCAAGTCCCAAACGGAAAGAAAATTGTTAAAAAAATATAACAAAATCTAATAAAATATATTTAAAACATGATTAAACAAATTACAGCCAAACAAAGTTGAAAATTAATGAAAAATAAAGGTTAAATAATTGATTTGTGTCCGGGGGTAGTTTTAAATTTATCAAAAAGGTGGAAAATTTTAAAAATAAACATCAGTAGTCAAAACAATTTCCAATCTTTTTCAAAATGATGAAAAACATTAAAAAATACATTACAAACAAAATTCTTTATCTTTTGAAATTTTATACTTTTTTTTTAATTTTTAAAATATACCCGACCGGTTCATCAAAACCGGCTGAAACGAGAACCAGCGACTCGCCAGTTCCAATCTAATTGAGTGGTTAGAATTTGAACTTTCGAAATAAAATTCGTCATTGAATATACTGATGTGGCGAGAACAGAGGAGCTACATTGGCCTCATCAAGCGCGGTTTAAGCCCACGTTATCATATTTGCTTTAGAGGCTTTTTTGGTCAAAAATGAACCACTTGGGCTAGTTTAGGGGAAGACCTTAGGTTTTTTTTTTTTTTAAATAAAAATATTATTTATTTTAGAAAATAAATTATTTTTAAAATTTTTAAAATTTAATAAATCCCAAAAAAACAGAAAAATATATGCTATTTTTTTCAACAGAAGCATATTATCAAATTTATCTTTTGTACAACGATTGTATGCAAATAGGTCATTTACCTTTGTACAAGAAAGTCACAATTATTCCCACTTTTAGATATCAAATTTGATGGTTTGGAGAGTCAAAAATAGGGTCTTTAATATTTGTCAAAAAAATAATCTTTACTACATAAATGATCAAGAACAATGACAATTCATAATCATAATGAGTTATAGAAACATTTACAAACTAATAGTTTCATTTCAAATATTTAACTGTTTCCACTGAAGAGATTAAAAAAGTAATGGTGTGATAGTTTTACTTAGAAAATCAGAAACTACGAGGTACAAACAATTTTAGCCACATCTACACGATACTTACTATGCTCCCTCAGGAGCATAGTTTACTTCTACTGCCTTGGCCAAATGATCCACTCGAGAGGATTCTTTCATCTGAAATTTTGGGAACCACCTAAGTATCATTAGATGATTATTTTAAAAATAAAAAATTAATGAAATTTAATTTTTCTAGCGTTTGCATCTCACCTTCTAAAAATTAGACATTTTTTATTAAATTTTGAGACATAATTTTGTTCAAGTGCTTACTATGCTCCCTCAGGAGCATAGTTTACTTCTACTGCCTTGGCCAAATGATCCACTCGGGAGGATTTTTTCATCTGAAATTTTGGGAACTACTTAAGAATCATTAGATGATTATTTTAAAAAGAAAAAAAATTGAAATTTGAGTTTTCTAACATTTGCATCTCACCTTCTAAAAATTGGACGATTTTTATTCAATTTTGGGACATTATTTTGTTCAAGTGCTTAGAGGGTGAAATTAGGATTTTTTTTTGGTTGAAGAAGTTATATCCCCAAAATTTGGAGTCTTAAATTAATTCTAGTTGAGGTTTTACCCGAGGGAGTAAATGGACAGTATAGTCCCCGAGGGAGTAGACCATATTTTAGAATTTCTAAATATTCAATAGTTTTAACATTATCATTAGCCAAGCAAGTTTTGGGATATCTTGGGCAACAAATTTGTCGAGCAAGTTTTTGAAAATCTGGAACTAATATTGAATAGGAAAAGTACATAAAGAGAACATTTATTTTTTGTACAAGAAGGTCAATTTGTCAGATTTCAAATTGGCTGGTTGTACAAATGTCATTGGCCTGACTCAAAGTTAAAAATAAAACAAAAAATTTTGAACTTTGTGGCATAACCCAAGCTATTTTAATTGACATCTAATGGCTATGATTGGTTGTAACCTTCTTATAATAAAGATAAACAATCATAGTATTTAATCCCGAATGAATATTTGTTGAGCAAGTTTTGAGCACATCGACAAGATGATAATTTTTGCCTCGTAGCACAAAGAATTGGGATATCTTGGATAACAAATTGAAAAAAATGTATGACTACATTGTCACTAAGAAGTTTTATTCTTTTTTTAAAAAAAAAATTTATATCACAGCCCCCACAACAGCAATACAAATAGAGTATTTTCACTATTTTACACTTTTACACTATGTTTAACTAGAAAATAAATTGCGAAAAAGATATTTATCACTATTTACACAAAGGTTGTGTAAGAGTCGAATTGACTATGTGTAATCTCATGTTTATTTCCATTAATGGTGAGAAATATATATATATATATATATATATATATATATATACATATATATACAACGCAACTAGAAAATACAAGAATCAAGGGGGAGGCGTACAGTTACAACGGAGTTTGAGGCCTCTACAATGACTTACAGTTACAACAGAGATTGACCCATTCGATATGGTTGTGGTTGGCCAGATTTTCTGACCCGATTTTCTATAATACTCCTCCTCAAGTTTGTGTGTGGGGATCAAAAACACCCAACTTGCGTTATAGATAATCAAATCTGTCATTCCCAAGAGGTTTAGTAAATATATCAGCTCGTTGATTATCTATTCTAAGGTACTGTGTGGAAATGATTCCGGCTTGCAATTTTTCATGACAATCCAACTCAATGTGCTTCGTGCGTTCGTGGAAGACTAGATTGGAAGCAATGTGCAAGGCCGCTGGGTTATCACAATATAAATGCATGGGTTGTGAGTGTGCAAAACCAAGATCATTTAGAAGATGTTTAAACCACACTAGTTCACATGTTGTGGCGGCCATGGCTCCATATTCAGCCTCCAAGATAATTTAGAACATGTTTAAGCCACACTAGTTCACATGTTGTGGTGGTCATGGCTCTATATTCAACCTCGATAGATGAGCGGGAGATTGTGGATTGTTTTTTTGTATGCCATGAGATAGGGCTCTCGCCAAGGAAAGTACAATAACCAATTACTAATCAACTAGTGGCAAAGCAGCTGGCCCAATTTGAATCAGAGTACCCAAATAATTGGAAATTGTGGGATGATGGCAGGAGAATGCTTTTCCTTAGCCTGGATTTGAGATACAGAAGAATGCGAAGTGTTACGTCCATATGAGGTTGGAGTGGTGTTTGCATAAATTGGCTCAAAACATTTACTTAAAATGTAATATCTGATCTTGTGATGGTCAAGTATATGAGATGCCCAACCAGTCGTCTATAGGTGCCAGGATCAGAGAGAACTGTGCCATCATCAACATTGAGCTTTAAATTTTGCTCCATGGAAAATGGAGCTGGTTTGGCTCCAAGAAGACATGCTTCTTAAAAGATGTCAAATGTGTATGCCTTGATTGGATCGAGCCACCTCTATTCCCAAGAAGTATTTAAATGAGCCAAGGTTTTTGATTTTGAAGTGACTGTGCAAAACTCGTTTAATGAATTCAATGGTGGAGCTATCATTGCCAGTTAGTATAATGTCATTGACATGTACTAGGATGATGGTGATCCAGTCCTGAGTTTTGAGAGTGAACATCGAATAGTCGGTTGTGGATTGATGAAAACCAGTTTGAAGAAGGTTCGTGGAGAACTTAGAGAACCAATTACGAGAAGCTTGTTTAAGGCCATATAAAAACTTTTTTAAGCTGCAAAAAAGATGTTCTCCATGCTCCCCCTTTCGAGGGAAACCCGGCGGAAGTTGCCTGTAGGCTTCCTCTGCTAAATCTCCGTGTAAGAAGGCATTGTTCATGTCTAATTGAAAGAGAGGCCAGTGTTGAGCGGCGGCAATAGAGAGCAAGCAAAGGTCTCATGGTAATCGATTCCTTTAGATTGTGTGTACCCCTTCGCAACAAGTCGAGCTTTATATCGCTCAATGCTCCCATCAGCATTGTATTTGATTTTGTATACCCACTTGCACCTTATAGCATGTTTTTCGGGTTCAAGGGAGTAACATACCAAGTATTATTGGCTTCTAATGCCTTTATTTCTGCAGTCATAGCATCCCTCCTGCGAGGATCTTTAGAAGCAGATGTGAAAGTTCTAGGTTCTTGGTTAGTGGTAATAGCAGCAAGACCAGCTCTATGAGGTGTGGAAAATTTGTCATAGGAAATATAATGAGTAAGAGGATGCTCAGTACCTGAATGATGACTAGCTGAAGTAGAGTGATTGGTCGTGGAGGAAGATGTCACATGAGCACACTTGTAGTCAACGAGCCAGCTTGATGGGCGGTAAGGGTGAGAGGACCTACGTGTGGGTTGTTGGATGGAAGTTGTATGTTCAAAGGCCGATGATGGACCGTTGGTGACAAGTGGAGGAAGAGGTTGGTCGCTAGGTGGAGGACACGACTTGCAGGACAAGTCATTGGAAGGTTCGAGCGACAGCACATAAGGGGTAGTGGGTTGCTGCTCGGTGGTGGGAGTGTGGTGATGGTCAAGTGGTGTATCAGCAGTTGTGAGCCGAGTTAATTCAAGGGAAACATCTTCAATGATAGGAAGAGGGATTGGTGTGACAGAGTTGTGAGAAGCATCAACGACCTTGTTAGTGAGAAATGGAAATTTATTTTCATGAAAGGTCACATCTGTGCTAACATAAAATAATTTTTCCAAATCATAAACTTTGTATCCTTTTTTTCCATAGGGGTAGCCAATAAACACACATTTTTTAGCACGAGGTGCAAACTTATCAATGGTTTTGGTATGAGCAAAACATAAACAACCTAAAACACAAAAGTGATTATAGGCTGGTTTAGAATTGAATAGTGTTTCATATGCAGATTTCCCTTGGAGGATTGGAAAAGACAAGCGATTTATTAGGTAAGTGGTTGTTAAAACACCTTCTCCCCAAAAGGTGAGAAGTAAACCAACCTGAAAACAAAGAGCTCGGGCTTTCTCAAGGCGATGGCGGTGTTTGCGTTCAACCACCCCATTCTGTTGAGGTCTGTTGACACAAGACCTTTGATGAAAGATACCTTTGTCATGAAGGAAGGCTTGCATTTGAGAGGAAAGAAACTCATATCCGGTATCGAACCTTATGGTTTTGATAGTGGAGTTGAACTGGTTTTCAACCATGGCACAAAAATGCTTGAGGTATGAACATGTTTCACATTTGAACTTCATAAAAAATGTCCAAGTGCAACGGCTAAAATCATCCACAATTGTTAAAAAATACTGTGCACCAATGTGTGTTGGTGTTGAGTAGGCACCCCATATGTCACAGTGAAGAAGTTGAAAAGGAAAAGTGCTTCTATTAGAGCTAAGCGAAAAACAATCTCTAGTTTTCTTGGCTAGAGGGCAAGTTTCACAAGGATAACATTTATTTTTTGAATAAGAAAAAGAAAGATCAGAGGATAGTTCCTGCAACCGTCGGTTGAAGCGATGTCCCAGACGGTTGTGCCATAGTTGGAAAGTTGAAGCTTGGACATATGTGTTATTCCTGGATCCTTATAGAAATAGAGTCCATCATGTTCTTCACCCATATCAATCACCCTCTTCGTTGCTAGGTCCTGAAAAACACAAAATTTAAGAAAGAAAATGACAGCACAATTGTGAGTTTTGGTAAGTTTGCTGATGACAAGTAAATTTAAATCAAAAGAAGGTATCCACAATACATCATTGAGTTGGAGTGAGGGTGAGAGAGAGCATTGCCCTTTATGAGAGACGCTGACAATTCTCCATTTGGTAGCCTAACAGATCGAGGTTGATGAAGAAGGTGTTTGGTGGATGAGTGGTTCATGGAGGAGGTCATATGGTCGATGCTCTTGTATTTGTAATCTAGGATGATGACTGAGAATGTAAAGAGGCACAAGAAATAGCCATACCTGCCAAGTTTGCTGAATACAAACTATTGTCAATGTTCAGCAAAGACATCAACTGAGTATGTTGCTCTGGTGACCAATGCACAGGGATGGAATTTTTGGCAGGGGTGACCTTTTCTTTGTAGGAGTTGATGGCAACATCAATGGAGCGTCCAGCTTGAGGACCGTGTAACTTTCGGCATTGATCCTTGGTATGACCGAGAAATCCACAATGATCGCAGCGTGGTTTGTCACGGCTATGAGAATTCCGTCCACCATTGTGTCCTTTAAGCTAGTTTTGATTGTTCCAATCAGGTATGCTGCGCCCTCGGCCATAGCGGTCGTTGTGTGAATCTGCCACAACGGGCCCTTCTAACGGTTGTGACAGTCGTGGATGCATGCTCCTTTGCCTTGCTTCAGATGGGAAATCTCTTTGACAGTACCACAAGAGCACTTGGGAAGAGAAGAAAGATAATTTAATTCATCCCAATACCCTTTGAGTGTGGTGTAATATGACATAATGGAAAGTTGATCTTTAGCATGATTAGAAATATCACGAGTGATGCGGTAAATTTGAAAAGCTTTATCGTAGGAAAAGCGTCCCTGTAGGTCTTCTCATACCTCAAAGCACCATAGTGTTGCATCGGTTCCAAGAGGAGAAGTTGTATGCGTTTTCCTCTGGTTTGGGAATGGTGTCATTGATAAAACCAAGTTTATTCTTGGCATCAAGGGTTGTGCTCGTAGCCCGTTTCTATAATGGATAGTTGTCTCCAGTAAGCAACTGAGAGACTAGCACCATTCCTGGGTTATCCAAGTGATGAAGACAGAAGGGAGAAGAGTAATCAGCAGCTTCTCTACTAGATTTGTTCTGGTTATTTTCAGGTATCGCCATGGGAAGAAAACAACAGGGAGAAGATAAAAAAATGGGGATACAGGAGATGTGGGAGGTGGAGGGACAAGGAGGCCGAGACAGTGGCTATCAAAGGGATTATGGCAGTTTTGGATTTTGCAAGTCCAAGTGATCAAAGTGGACCAGCAGAAGAACAAATATGGACCACCAACTTATTTTCAAAGCAAAATCTCACTTTACTTTTAGTGAGAGAAAAATAATATGCAGAGAAAACCTCAGCCACTTTTATGAGGTAATGATGGGTTCACCACAGGCGCAAATTTGATGGCGTTGCTTTTCTCAGGTACAAATCGGAAAGCCTGATGCGCAGTGAGAAGAGAGGGAGGCAGCATCAGGTTCACGAATACAATTAGGGTTTGATGATGGATAGAGGGTTTCAATTAGAGAGAAAGGTTGAGCTCTCGGAGTTTCTCTGGAGCCTGCAATTAGAGCACGAATGCTTAACCAGTGACTTGGATGTCCTCACGAAGAGGAACGAGGAGCTTCAGCGTCAATTGGAGGACGCAACAGGGGCAGGGCGGAATAACCAATCAGACATGGAAGGTGCCAACCCTGAGCCTCAAGACCCTGGCTACTCTCTCTCTCTCTACAATACATTCGAACCCTAGGTTTTCACTTTCTAAAACTGCTCTGATACCATGTAAGAGTCGAATTGTCTTTGTGTAATCTCATGTATATTTCCATTAATGGTGAGAAATATATATATACAACGCAAGTGGAAAATACGAGGATCAAGAGGGCGGCCGCTACAATGGCGTACAGTTACAACATAGATTGAGGCCGCTACAATGACGTACAGTTACAAGAGATATTGATACGACTCGTTCAATATGGTTGTTGTTGGCCCCGTTCAATATAGTTGTGGTTGGGCCCAGGCCCAATAGGCAACACAGAAACATGCCAACACTGGCTCAGGCCCTACCCTCAAGTTGTGGTGGCCCAACCCTCGGGCCACATTTTGTAGCTCAAACCAGCCAGACCACTTAAACCAGTCAAAACCGGCTTGGCTAGTGGACACTTTACCCGGTCGGTTCTGTGTCAACCCAGTCGAGTTGTTGGACATTGGCTTCAACTGAAGCAAAGCGAGTCTTACAACATTTGTTTAAGCTACGTCATTTAAATTCTTAACGAAAAGTTTAGAATTTGGTGTGGAAAATAAGAGATTGTATACTATGTGATCATTTGTCTTTGTAACAAGGTGGTCACAATTACTCTTAGCCATTAGATGTTAAATTGGATGGCTTGATCGAAGTTCAAGAATTTTTTTTAAAACTTTAAACCTAGTCAATGACATTCTTACATCCATTAGATTTAAAATTTGAAAAACAAATATGATTGGGGCATCTTTGTACTAAAAGTAAATGGGTGCGGTTTGAATAGAGCTGAGGCTCTAAACAATCAAAGTAAAGTGTACCTTCAAATAGAGTCGAGAAATAGTTTTAATACTGAAAATCGTTTTGATAGCCATAAAATAAATTTTTATTTTCAATTATAAAATTTAAATATTAAAAAATAGTGTAGATCAAGTAGATCTATGAAAACTTGAAAATTGACGGTCCAAAAATATATTACAAGATGAACTATTTCCAAAACTTGAAATCTATTTTTTTCTCATGTCCTTGCATCTTGAGGTCGAGACAATAAATTTCAGGACATTTAGGCATATAAACAACCACTTCTAGTGAAATGTTTTAGGTGGGCTCTAATTTGATTGTTTCGAGCCTCTGCTCTATATAAACTTTTTTCAAAGTAAATAGTCTCTTTTTTATTATTTTTTTTGGTTTACCAATTCGACTCCTACATATTTTTAGTGAGATACAATGGTTGGCTGAGGAGAGTTCTCTCTTTTGATGATAACAGGAGGCCTACTGAAATGAGAGTTTCATTTCATGACGGCCTCATCACGGAGAACATATCGGCACCAAAAGTCGCGAATCAAATGGTTGACGGATGGGAATTCTAACATCTAATTCATTAACATTTAGAGGTTCAAGGTCCTAGGGGGCTCTTGCTAGATGAGGCTACAATTGAAGTGGCGATTGTACCATATTTCCGAGCAGTGTGTTCAATTGCATGATCTAGCCTCGGAAACCAGCCATGGGCCAGGTCCAAGTAAAATTGGCCTTCATATGATAGGTCTTGACCAGGCTAAAAAAAATAAAAAGGATATTTAAAGTATAATTAAAGAAAATACATCCAAAGAAGATTAAAAAAGTTGTGCAAAAAAAGGATTTTGAGAAATCAATTTGTATACAAGGGTGTTTTAGAAATATTTCAAAAAAATGAAAAAAATATAAAAATAAGTATTTATGATCAAAGTACATCCCAACCTTTTTCAAAATAAGACAACACTAAAAAACCTATTTATAGTTTTTTATGTTATTTTTACAATTCCGTTGGTGAACCCAGGTGACCACCCTAACTGGCCACAGCCAATAGCCGGTTCCGGTAACCCTCCCGGGTGGTCGAACAGTGTTTCCAAGAGTCCTTTAAGGCAATCGGCAACGTCTCCAACTTCAACAAGTAACCTATTCAAAAGGCTCTGGGCAGAGTAAAGGTTGTCAGTACGATTCCACGAAGTCAAACAAGTTATATTTTAACTTTAGTAAGGGTGGCAACGGGCCCATCCCTTGTCGCCATAGGGTCAGCCCATGTCTGCCCGACCCTACATAGGGCTAGAGCCGGGCATGGCAAAATTCAAGTGCAAAAAACAAAAAATAAAAACAAAGGTGGGGCCGGGCCAAATCGGGATAATAGCCCTAGCTCGGCTCTCATGCTACAGTTTATGGCCTTGGCCCTACTTTTTAAAGGCCGGTCTGACCGGCCCATTACCAGCCCTAACTTTATTAGAGATAGGCTACGATTGCCGATCAGTCCCTCTTGGTTTTGTTCAAGTAGTACTTGGTCGTGATAAAGAAGAATATCTATAATTGTTCCAAGAATTCAATGATAGAGGGGTGTAAATAAAGCAATGAATGCCTCTTTTACTGCTTTGACACCAGTGGTGGGTATGAAGCCTTGAATAATCTTTGCCACATCCGCTCTCTTGGATGATCATATAAGATTATGGGGAAGTTGTTAGGCACTATATTGAAATACGTTTTTAAAGAAGTTCGCAACCCTTAAGATCGTTCACTTTTTGGCCCGTTATATTTCAAAATAATTGTGCTTGGACTGTATAAGTTTGTGGTCATCAGGACAATAATTGTGAATAGTATTGTAAAAATGAATAGTATTGTGAATAGTAATGTGCAAATGAATATTATTGTGCAAATGAATAGTATTGTGTAAATGAATAGTATTGTGCTAATGAATAGTACCATATAAGACCATATGAATAGTGCATGCAAGATCAAGTAAACATT